CCTAGTATTCCAAATTTGGGTACCATGCTATGATCTCATCTTTGGTTAGGATTGGTGATATTGAAGGTATAGAGAATGTATATGAGGAATGGCTGTCAGTTAGTCATCTTATGACCCTAGAATAGCAAATCTTCTCCTGGGATGTTATGTTAAAGAAGGAAATTTTGATAAAGCTGAGACTTTCTTCAATCACATTGTTGAAGTGGGAGGAAAGCCAAATTCAACTACATGGGAGATTCTTGCTGAAGGACAATTGGAGGAAAGAAATTATGGAGGCTTTGTCTTGCTTCAAGGAAGCTTTTGCTGCAGAGGGAGTAAAGAATTGGAGGCCAAAACCTTAATGTGCTTGCCTTTTTAAACTCTGTGATGAAGAATCACACGCGCAAGTAAAGAGGTTTTGGTGGGATTATTAAGGCAATCTGGGTATCGTAAAGACAAAGCTATATTTCAATGATTGGCTTAACTGATGAAACTGTTAATACCAATGTTTTATCGGAAGAAGGATAGCACTGACTATAACAATGACAGTGGTGAAGATGAGGATCAAACACTCCTCAGCCAACTGCAGAGTAGCCCGTGATTTGTCTGCTTTCTCCTTTTATTTTAAATATCACGAAATAGTTTTGAACCTTTAATAACTTTGCTTTAAGGAGATTCTTTCCACAGTTGGATACGAGTTTACTCACAGCAACTAGGAGTAAGCTTTGCTTCAATAGAGGGTTCCAGTCATCTGCTTTCACCTGTTTAAATTTTGTTTTAATATTTACTGTATTCTTCTTGTGTAGCATTTGGCTAGTAGAAATTGCGCCTTAGCCTTACAGTTGGTTCAGTTTTGTTGAGTATTATTAATGTTTACCGCATTTTCATCTGTAACGTTTTCTTTATGTGATTTCAATTGATTTATGTTTAGGCATAAGATGAAAACATTAGAGATTAAGTCCCCTTCAGGACATTTTATAGGACTACTTGGTTTCAGATCGAGTCCTTGAGGCATTTTGTAGGACCTCTTGTTGCAGAGTTGACATTGACATTGCTTGCCTTGGCTGAAATAGTTTCTGATGGTTAGTGACTGTGGACAAGCTTTGCACGCATTTTATTCATGAAGTTGCCCGAGTTTTAACGTTGTTAAGCGTAACCGAAAGAAAATTAGGACTGTTACTGTGCGAGAGACGATATTAAAGAAATAAAAGAGACGATATAAAAAACTATACTCATCATGAGAAAACTTCCCGCCCGTCCAGATTCCAGTACAATCCAATTCATCACCTTCTTCAAGACCCTCTGAGAACGAATCGAAGTCCATAGTTTGAAAACCAAGTGATCCTCAGAGAAACAATGAAATGTTGAATATTTGAATTGACTCTCGAGAGACAGAATTTTATGGGTTGTTCATTGTTCTTGCGGAAGAGAGGGGTAATTGTGTAGCTCGCCCACGGATTGTGGGAGCTTTGGCTGTAATTGGGTCTGTAACGTCTGAGGAAAATCTTGGACTAATTAAATGGACTCTCGTACCTGTTTCTCGTAAAACAGGGCCTTTCTTGTAGGAGATTTACATGTGATACAAGTTGGGCATAAACATAACTAACCTAACAAACCTCTCTCACTAACCTCACGTGAGAGTTTTAATTAGTTTGTTAGACGGAACTTATTATAGACAACATAATCTATGGAACTAATGAATTATGAACTGACGAATTATGAGTTGACACGTGATATTTATGAAAGAAAGTTAATGAGAAGGGACTTATTATTAGACAGGATTGACGAATGTGAGCTGATATATGGTATTTGTGAGAGAAAGTTAGTGGAAAGTGTTTATGAGTGTAGTATTACTCATAGAGTAATAAATAATTGTGCAACTGAAATTGAAAAGGAAGACAACTCACAACTACAGTGTGTTTGATCGCTTAGCTTCCAATTTGTCAGTGTTACCCTTTGCCAACTTGCTCTCTCATCAAATTTAACCTTCTGCTATTAGGCTTTCTTTACTTACAGTGATTGATTTGATGCACTTAAACTCCATATTTCCCCTCTCCTTATCTTAATACCTTATTAATTACAGAAACATGTAGCAATCTTTAATAAGCTATACACGACAAAGTAAGCCGTCGGTGGATAAAGCCATTTAAAAAAAAAAGATAACCCCAAATGTCCAAATCACATGTGCTACACGTGCTAAGATACATTTGAATTTTTAATAGTGAAGTGGCATGTCCTTAACGTGATGTCCAAAATTTTGGGCTTAATAAAACCATGGATTAAGAGATTATCATTTTCTGTAAAAGGATGGCAGTCTTGAGGATGATTGAAGGAGAAGGACCCACTTGAAGAGCAAGTGGGAGGTGTATTTCGCATTAGTAGGGGAGACAATCACGTGGGATAGCACATGGTTTGGGATACAGATACGTTACATGCAAAGGGCAAAGCAATAGATACGCTTTGTCTTTTGTTTTGAGTTTTACACATTTTACTCTTATAAACAAGACATGCTTTGCTCCTGTTTCACTCCAAGAATAACTCAACATGCTTCAGCTTGGCCACTGTTAGTGTTAATTACACAAATTAAAGACAAAGCTGAAAGGATAACTGTATTTTGGTTGCACTGGCAGCAGCATGTTATAATTGCAAGTTAAAAGGGCTTCCAAATAAATTCACATCTTGCTGTAAAGTCACGTCTTCTCTTCTCTTCTCTTTGTTCTATAATCTACTTGAGTTTCCTAAAGAAATGTCATCAATAATGCTCACCACAGCTATATATATCCCTCAAACTGAGTTGTTTTAAGTTCAACCTTCACGACTTGAGCTGGAAATTGACCAATTATTATGATCTTTTAGAACTGAAATGATGTTTTAACAAGTCTTTTTCCACCCTTAATATTGGATTAGGGTCTGTTTTAGGATTTGCAGACTATTGTAATCTAGTCGTTTCGGCTTCGGCTTCGGCTTCGTATATTATATATTAACCCGACCCCAAGCCCCAACCGCAAATCTAAAATTTTGCATATTTTTGGACAAAAAGCAGCATATACTTTGTGCTATGGACCGACCTTACAAATCCATGTTATGTCACACCATTTGTATATGGATTCGCAACACATGCAAGATCTTAAAAAGGTGGAACCCACTAATTAAAATCTAAAATTTTCCCACATGTAATCACATGATGAATATGGCATACCATCACCATTGTCACAATTAATCACGCAAATTCTGAGATATTTTCTTAATTAACAAGTTTAGGATTCCAATCAATTTACTCTACTCATTTATTTTCTTGTATATCTCTTTTCTTACAAGAAAAGGACACACTTAATCCACCATAACCCCACCTTTTGTTCCCTCTTTCACAGGTTTAACTTTGAAATTAATAATCATAACCCAACTCAAACCCCACCAACTGGGGACATCCAAGTCATAATTCAAATTTTTGAGGTTATTTTTTTAAATTTATGTAATCAGTCCCACCCATGAACGACCACCTTACCTGTTTGGATTTTTTTTTTATATAAGCTAAAACCTTATGTATCTCAACGGAGGCATTTAAGCTAAAAAAGTTATTTGTCATCAATGGCAGAGTTAGAGAACCCGAATGTGATGACAAATCTTATCACTTTTCTCTTTCTCTGCTTCAAAGAGTGGCTGAATCCAATGATATTAACTGTCGACTTCAGCCCCAGAAAATTTCTGTTTTCATGGCTTAGCTCGCCCTTCTATCTCAATTCAAAACTACTTAGAGAGAATTTTCAAGTACGCGAATTGTAGCCCTCTTGCTTCATTGTTGCTTATGTTTATCTTGATCGGTTCGCCAAAGGCAACCCTCGTTGCCTATCAATTCTTTCAACGTTCATCGTTTGCTTATCACAAGTGTCATGGTTGCCGCAAAGTTCATGGATGATATGTAAGTTTTTCAAGTTACTCACTTTGGCATGGCGGTGCAATTTAAATCTTTAGATTTGATTTCTGGGTTCTTGGTTTTCTTGAAATTATGTACTTGGTTTAGCTTTAAAGATTGGGTGGCGCATGAACATTGAAGTTTCTTTTAAATTGTTTTGACTGGTAGATTACTTTAAGATGCAAATTTTGGATTCTCGAATTCTTTTCTGGGATTTTCTCTAAAGAGATGAAAACCCAGATCCTCTGGTGTAAAATCACTGAATTTTCCTAGAAAACGATCTACTTGTTAAATCCAGATAATTCTAGTCATGTGAAACCCACGTTGTCTTCCAGAAAACAAGCTAAAATGCAGATATGAAGAAGGATTTTGGGCCAATTTGTTAATAGTTTAAAACATAATACTCCTTTGTCACTACATGTAGTTTTAAACAAACTATTAAATTCAGGTTCTTGTCAGGGGGTCTTTTAGTCATTAGTTATGAGAATATACTACAGTAATTTAGCACTCTGACCCTTTACATTATACTTAAAAAGATTGATTCTCTTTTTTAAATTTGCTTAAATAACTTTCAGGTATTACACAATGCTTACTATGCAAAAGTTGGAGGAATCAGCACAACAGAGATGAACTTTCTTGAAGTAGATTTTCTCTTTGGATTGGGCTTCCGCTTAATGTGACACCCAACACTTTTCACACTTACTGTTCATATCTTCAGAGAGAGATGATCTACAACCTCAACCATCTCTAAATATTGCAGAATCATCTTTAAACATTGGAAATTTCAAAGTCCACTTGTGTTTCAATGAAGATGAAACCTCACACCAACAGCAGCAACTAGCTGTTTAAGCTTTATTGTAAACTGTTAAAATTGTAGTTAGATGCAGTAGAGATATAGAGACTCTGTTTACTTCCTCATTTATAAACTTGTCTCTATGTCTTGTATTTGTTTACTTTTTCTGGTTTTGGATTTCAAATGATTTGGTATGTACAGATGGAAGATTCTTCTTTACAGTCTGGCAATCGAAGTCTATTAGTATATTAGTCCCTTAATTTTATTGCTTGATACTCTTTTTTTTCTGGCCTTAAGTGATACTTGTTCTTATCCATGTTAGGATTCTCTGAACTTTTTGAAGAGCCACAAAAGTTTGAGAAATCAGAGTGGCAAATAGGGAAAGGAATGAGTGGTACAAAAGAACAATGTACAGGGATAGTATTTGTTGTGAATATTTATAATTTGTTCCTTTTGACAGTTGTACAGATTCTTCAAAAGGGGACATGGAACATGTGCAATTACAGATAGGAAGTTTAGACTTTCGAAAGACAGAAAGGGAAAGATGGCATGCTACCACTTACCCCAACTTGTGATATGGAAAAAAAAGGCTACGAGTTCCAGTTCCAACAGTCTTATAATTGCCATATTGACCATTTAATCCTATCATCCAGGCACTTGCAGCATTTAGAACACACAAAACACTTCTGGTTATGCATTTATTTAATTTTGTTTTGCTTTATTAAAGTTTATTTTTATGAAGTCACTATATGACCATATTCATATATACCAAATTGAGAATAAAAACAAACAAAATTTCCCTCTTTTGTCAGAATACCAAAAGTTGGTGCTTAACTTAGGCAGCTGCAACTGGTCGACATAAACTGGTTAGTGTCACGGGTCAAAAAAATTTTAACATCTAGCGGCGCGAACGACAACACTGATATCCAGGCAGGTTACTTGAGAAATGAATGTGCTATCTGTAAATGTAACCGACAATCTAACAATGAAAAAGGGTTAACATTATTGATGTTATTACGCAGTAAACAGTCGGCAGCGTCAAGCAAGATGAGGAGGCAGAAAGTCACAGTTACAGTCAGAATAATTGTAAAATTGAGGTACTACTAAAATTTCGATTGTTGAATGCTCAATTTTTGGTGAGGAAGAGCTCATAAGTTAAGTTCTGTTGCTGCCTAATAGTATTCTGTCAAACATTTCGATTGGATGGCTATACACACACACATTCTGCCGTTTCAAGTCTTATTAACTGCTGTATATCAAGTATTTAAGTGCTGTACAGTTGCACAACAAATGTTGGAGCAGGACAGTAAGGAACCTCAATTTGCCGAGGATGAACTCCTTTTGCTGTTTGGGCACAAGGGTTACTCTCCAATCTAGAACCCGAATTCATTTGGGTCATATGACCCCAGTTTAGTCTGGCTAAGGGTTCCGTTTATCCCTTAGTTCGAGCTGCCTTCCTAACCGTGTCGGACTTTCTTTTGTTTGACTGTTAAATAATTTATTACAGGTACATTGCGTATTAGGAAATTCTTTGTGCCAAAACGTGTATACCTAATCAATAACCCTCTTCATATCTGGACAAAAGAAATCTTCTGTATTCAAAATTGGACTAATGTTAAATGTTCATCAACATTAGAAGACAACTTAATTCAGCAATCACTACATATAATACTTTAATTATCTGATACACAGACTTTCATGTCAGATTACATAAACAAATTGGCTCAGGATATTGATTTCATCCTGAATATAACATAATTGGCTAAGGACATTGAAGCTCATCCTGAATACCAGTGTATGTCTTGTTACTTGTATACTTGTTATACATCTGGATCAAACACCGAACTACGAAAGGCACAGCAGCCGCAAGCAAGATGTATCGAAATCTGACAGATTCATTAGGCGTAACAGCAAAAAGAGCAGATCCATAAGTTACTATCATTGCACCAGTGGCAACCCATATCTCGAAATGAAAAGGAAACCTATATGTAGCGAAACAATAACAAGTATGGATGTAGAAAGAGCCACGGTGTTAGAAATCAAGAAAACATAGTAGGCTTCATTTTGAGCAGCATAATAGCCCTCGGCAACATGTCCATTATTATCATCTTGCCAAACACCACCAGGAGGGTTGACTCCTGCTTGAAAAGTCACTGCAGCAATTAAGTGACAACGATCAGGATCACATTCCGGGCATCACTTGGCGAGTCCCTGCCTTCTTCATACCGGAAATATTTAAACCAGCTCCCCAGTACTCAAAGAAGGGTAAGACGACTTGGTATACAATTTCTTGAGCAATGAAAGTTTAAGGATATTGCCTTCCAAGATGTTCAAATAGAAACTTAATTCTGACTGAGTCCACTATCTTAACATTTTTTAACGTAATAAATTATATATGAAGTCAGTTGTTATATACACATATGTTTGAGAAGGGAAAAGAAAAAGTGATATGTCCTTGTTATAATAAAGAAGTTTGGTGCGTGTTACCAAGTCCGGCGAGTCCCTTTGGCTGTGTTAGGAGCGAGCAACCACGAAGGAACAAGATGCTTTTAAATTATTGAATTTGAAATATTAACATCATATATATTCTGATTTTTCAACTTATCAGCAGCAGTTGCAGCTAACAGGATGTATGTTCTTGTTTGTTGTTTGTTGTAAGCTGCACTAATTTGCTCAGATTATTTATGTTCAGTCTTACTGGGACATGCCTCAACTGCAAGTCATCTCATTCACCTTTTGGAAGAAAACTGCACAATGCCTTTTTTGCTGTGCTCTGTTTTTAGAGATGTCCTTAATCACATCATTGGCTGTCATGTTTTTTCTCAATTGCAAGTCATCTCATTCATGAGACACTTACATTCTTTGTGTATGTTGCACATTGTTGGACTTCTACGTGGGGATGTATGAATTTGACACTGTTTGGCTGTACTTGTAAACAGTAATTTTTCTTTAGTTTACTAATAAACGGTTTGGTTGCTGTTTAATTTTTGAAACTTTTTTAATGCTTCCCAATTGCTAATAGGATTCATATTTGTTGCACTGTTTGTTACATTGTTACAGCTACATCAATAGGAAGAAATCCTTCTGGAAAGTGCTCAGTATCATTTTGCTCGGACTTCTTATAATCAGGTTTGATGACTAGTCATTTACTTTATGGTGGGTAATGAGTTACTTCCTTTTAGGTAATTATCTTTATATTCTGTAGTCTAGGGTGCACTGTCATATTTTTCATGGCATCCTATGAGAATTATCCCAGTGGCTATTCTTTAAAGTATTTGCATCAGATTGGTGAGTTCTCTCTCTCTCTCTCTCTCTCTCTCTTAACAGTAAACAAGCAGAAGAAATGTTGAGGGATGTTTTCAACAAGGGTGTTTCTTGCTAAAAATTGTTTTAGACAGAAATGTCTTCAGCAATGCTAAAAAACTGTAGCTACCTTATTTTTGAAATCACAGTCAATTATATATATATATTTTTTCCCTCTCTTTGAATTTGGCATTTCATAGAATGTTTCTTCTGACCTAAAATCTGTTATTGTGGCAAATATTGGGCATTGATCTTTTTGGTAGGTCATCTTGCTGACAGTTCTGAAGAACATTGGGTTCACATTGATACTTACTCAGCCATGAACGGGATATCCCGCTTTTGTGAAAATGATGTCTCATGGAGGTATGCTCGGTTATTGCTTATGTATGTAAACAATGTTAACTTTACAACTGGCTTTACAACATTTTCACTCCATAGTGTGTAAACGTAAATGATAAAAAATCTGTGAATAGTTTGCGACATTTCATGTGGGGTCCACAGTCTTTGCTTAAACTGCTTCCATGGTTCATACTATCCAAGTACGGGAATGTTTCCCCAGTTCAGTGAGAATTTTCACCACATGGTTTTTTTAAATGCTTAGACATTATAACAGTTGTGATGCCACTTGCCTGAAATATTGGGAACACAGATAATTTAAAGTAAGCTGTGCTGCAACAAGAATGTTAGTACCAACACAAGGGCATGGTACTTAGAATGAGTTCCCCAGTTCGGTGAGAATTTATTACATGGTTATTTTAATTGCTTAGACATTATAACAATTGTGGCATCACTTGCCTGAAATATTGGGAATATAGATATTTTAAAGTGAGCTGTGCTCTAACAAGATTGGTAGTACAACACAAGGGCATGGAAACTTAGAATGAGTTGTGCTGTAACAAGATTGTTACTGACCAAGTTTATCGAACCAGGAAAAAATTGAGAATATCTTTGTTTTATTGTCCCTCCTTTTTGTTTTGGTCAATAATGACTGACAAAGTGCTCCTGTACAGTATGCTCAGATTTGTTTTGTTGAAATGGGCTTGACATCGCACTTTCAGTAATTAATTTTTTTTTTTTTTTTTTTTCATAACTCCGATGAAGCATTGTTCTTTCATGTTGTGCATAGTAATCATGTCTGCTGTTTCCAAGGTTTATCTATCAGTTCATAACTGTGTCTTATAATGCCAGATATTCCAAAGAAGAAGGCATCCCTTTGGAAGAATTTCATAAGAGAAATTTCACCTATCTATTGAAGTGAGTATTCCATTGTCTTTATGCTATCTTTTTAACGTGTCCTTGGGCCAAATATGTCATGAAGTGAGGTTCGGATTTTGCATTTTTTGCCCCTATCTTGCAATATCTATAAAATAGCCAATGACATGAATGCGCACTGGATTACATAAAAGATTTAGTACTTTTTGCTAATGCACGTGTAATTTATCTTTCTTATCTATGTAACAGTGAGCATTCTTCTGTTGATGGATACAAGTGTTTATTTACTGTGGATGGTTTCTCAAGGGTTCGTCCCCAAATGAGTTTTCCACCCTGGTTACTGGTAGGTAAAGAACAGTGTCTCACACAGGTAGTGGCCTAAGATTATCAGATCTGAAAATTCTCTTTGCGATTAATATCTGCAGATTAAAGAGCCCAAAGTATATGTCCATGGAAACATGGAAAACAACGATGTCATGCGTAAAAGGTGGCCAGGATGCTCTTGATTTTTTATCGATTCCGTATGTGTGAGTTGATCTTGCCAAAATCATTGTGTCAAATATGGATTATAGCTGCATCTCTCAACTTCAATATGGTTTTAATGCAGGTAATGAGCATGACAACCTGTAAGTTCAAGTTGCTGATACCTTGAACCAGTTGCTTACCTGCCATGTGAAGCCCATCAGATAGCATCTCATTTTGTATGTGATTGATAATCACTTTTGGTTTGTTATAGAGGATAGAAAGTTGCATTTGATATCATATTGGAAGCAAAACCAAAATTATTGTTGAGGTTTTGTTCTTCCTCGAGTTTCGCCCTTTCTTTCCTTGCTTAATATGAGAACTTTGTTGCTATATTCTTGCTCTTTTGTCATGGAACTTTTTTGGTATCCATTAACAAAATGAACTCAAACCTATGATTTTTTATGGAAAAGAAAAAATTATTTTTGGCTGACATCCTTGAATTAGTTTGATTTCAAACAAAATATGCACCATCTTGTGTGCTACAGTTTGCATAAGATGGATTTTCTGCACTTCTGCTCCTTTTTTCTTTGTTACTTTTTTCAGAATCCTGGTATTGGCTCCGACTATTTGAACCAGCAAGGAGCTATTACTTTTACTAAACCTGCCGACCGGATCTCGGTAGACTTCCACCGTTCTTGCTCTTGTTCACAACAAATGCGGCAGTGGCAATAAGAATTTGACCAGCGAAGAAAATAAAAAAACTTAATTGAGGAATATAATATTAATTGCACTTTGAGATTTTAACGTGACAGTGTGAACACAAGGGTAAACGACACTCAGCTGCTTCTTGAGTTTTTATGGGTCAACAATTTTATTCAAATATCGTTTTGCCTCTTCCAAGTTCCAATAATTCTTTTGGTAATGACAAAAAATACTACACAATTCAGGCGGTAAATAAGAGGAGGGGTTCATTGTAGTTTCTGCTAACTACTGGGGGTATATGTAATTATCCTCGCAAACAAACCAAATAAATTCAGGTAGTTAAAGGTAATTTTACTACTTATCTTGAAGGAAGATCAATCTGTTCAATCGAGAAAAAAACCTTCGTTTCGCAGTATATACACTTTAAACAAACTACAATCTGCAAAGACTCGCATCTCAGAAACATGTTTCTTCAACCTTCTCTTCATAATCACCACAACATTTCTCTCTCTTCAACCCTCTCTTATTCTCAACTTCTTCCATGTAAACTTCCTACTTTTGCCCTTTACCAAACTGTAACGCACCAGAAACTCCCCATCATAAGATGCTCTATATCTCAAATTCACAACTATGGAACGGTGGACTTTGAGCGAAGACCCATGATCAAATGGAATGCTATTTACAAGAAAATATCTCTTATGGAGAATCCTGAAATGGGTTGTGCTTCTGTGTTGAATCAGTGGGAGAATGGTGGCAGGAAGGTTACAAAATGGGAGCTATCTAGAGTTATTAAGGAGTTGAGGAAGTACAGGCGCTACAAGCAAGCTCTGGAGGTATAAACCAATTAAAAGTAATTATTTTGGTGCTTTGTTTAGCATTTATTTGTCATTTTCAGATGAATTGGATTGGTTTTTAGTGGAATTGATGCTGCAAGCAAGATTTTGAGACAATCGAAGCTTTTTTGGGGTCTTTGTTCAGTGTTTTTGGTGCGTCTTGTTTTATGGGCATTTGTTATTTCAGTTAAAGTTGCAATCCCTAACCTCTCTTCAAGTTCATAATGAATCTTAACTGGTATGGGGCTTTTTATACATATGAAGTTTAAACTGTCTCATTGGAAAGCCTAGTTTAAGTTCTTCCTGTTTGAAAGGCAGCTAGTGCAGGAGGAAAGAATCAATTCTGCCGCAATTTTGTGTGAGCTATTTGGCCCCTGAGAAATTTAGGGATGGAATTAGTAGAACTAGTGAAGTTCAAATTTCAATGTAAAATAGACTGAAGCGGGTAGTCAGGTAATGTCGCTTGATTTTGAGGAAAGAGAAGAGAAAATATTTGTCTGACTCTCAATAGGATACTGAGAGCTTCTTTAATAGGGTTGTTTTGATCAAAATTTGTCCTTTGGTGTTTCCTTGGCTAGGGGTCAGTAGGCATTTTTGTATCAGAGATTTGAGTTGCTAAACTGACTTTATTTTCTGCAGGTGTATGAGTGGATGAACAATAGAGGAGAGAGGTTCAGATTATCTGCTAGTGATGCTGCGATTCAGTTAGACCTAATTGCCAAAGCTCATGGAATATCTAGTGCCGAAGATTTTTTCCTACAGCTTCCTCATACTTTAAAGGACAGGAGAGTATATGGGGCTCTTCTGAATGCCTATGTTCGGGCTAGAATGAGAGGAGATGCTGAATTATTATTTGACAAAATGAGAGATAAGGGTTATGCTACGCACTCTCTTCCGTTCAATGTGATGATGACTCTTTATATGAACCTCAAGGAGTACGATAAAATTGACTTAGTGGTTTCAGAAATGATGGAGAAAGGCGTACGACTAGATGTATATTCGTACAACATTTGGCTATCATCTTGTGGATCCCAAGGATCTGGAGAAAAGATGGAACAAGTATATGAACAGATGAAAATGGATAGAGCCATTAATCCGAACTGGACTACATTCAGCACAATGGCGACAATGTATATTAAGATGGGACAGTTTGAAAAGGCTGAAGAGTGCTTAAGGAGGGTTGAGAGTAGAATAACTGGTCGGGATAGGATACCTTATCATTATCTCTTAAGTCTGTACGGTGGTGTTGGTAATAAAGAGGAGGTATATCGGGTGTGGAAGGCTTACAAATCGATTTTTCCTGGTATTCCAAATTTGGGATACCATGCTATGATCTCATCTTTGGTTAGGATTGGTGATATTGAAGGTATAGAGAATGTATATGAGGAATGGCTGTCAGTTAAGTCATCTTATGACCCTAGAATAGCAAATCTTCTCCTGGGATGTTATGTTAAAGAAGGAAATTTTGATAAAGCTGAGACTTTCTTCAATCACATTGTTGAAGTGGGAGGAAAGCCAAATTCAACTACATGGGAGATTCTTGCTGAAGGACATATTGGAGAGAAGAGAATTATGGAGGCTTTGTCTTGCTTCAAGGAAGCTTTTGCAGCTGAGGGAGTAAAGAATTGGAGGCCAAAACCTGTAAATGTGCTTGCCTTTTTTAAACTCTGTGATGAAGAATCCGACACGGCAAGTAAAGAGGTTTTGGTGGGATTATTAAGGCAATCTGGGTATCGTAAAGACAAAGCTTATATTTCAATGATTGGCTTAACTGATGAAACTGTTAATACCAATGTTTTATCGGAGAAGGATAGCACTGACTATAACAATGACAGTGGTGAAGATGAGGATCAAACACTCCTCAGCCAACTGCAGAGTAGCCCGTGATTTGTCTGCTTTCTCCTTTTATTTTAAATATCACAAAATAGTTTTGAACCTTTAATAACTTTGCTTTAAGGAGATTCTTTCCACAGTTGGATACGAGTTTTACTCACAGCAACTAGGAGTAAGCTTTGCTTCAATAGAGGGTTCCAGTCATCTGTATTTCACCTGTTTAAATTTTGTTTTAATATTTACTGTATTCTTTCTTGTGTAGCATTTGGCTTAGTAGAAATTTCGCCTTAGCCTTTACAGTTGGTTCAGTTTTGTTGAGTATTATTAAATGTTTACTGCATTTTCATCTGTAACGTTTTCTTTCTGTTGATTTCAATTGATTTATGTTTAGGCATAAGATGAAAACATTAGAGATTAAAGTCCACCTTCAGGACATTTTATAGGACTACTTGGTTTCAGATCGAGTCCTTCAGGGCATTTTGTAGGACCTCTTGGTTGCAGATTGAGTTAGACATTGACATTGCTTTGCCTTGGCTGAAATAGTTTCTGATGGTTAGTGGACTGTGGACAAGCTTTGCACGCATTTTATTCATGAAGTTCCCCGAGGTTTAACGTTGTTAAGCGTAACCAGAAAGAAAATTAAGGACTGTTACTGTGCGAGAGACGATATTAAAGAAATATACAAGAGACGATATAAAAGAAGTATACTCAATCATGAGAAAACTTCCCGCCCGTCCAGATTCCAGTACAATCCAATTTCATCACCTTCTTTCAAGACCCTTCTGAGAACAGAATCGAAGTCCATAGTTTGAAAACCAAGTGATCCTCAGAGAAACAATGAAATGTTGAATATTTGAATTGACTCTCGAGACACAGAATTTTATGGGTTGTTCAGTTGTTCTTGCGGAAAGAGAGGGGTGTAATTGTGTAGCTCGCCCAGCGGATTGTGGGAGCTTTGGGCTGTAATTGGGTCTGTAACGTCTGAGGAAAATCTTGGACTAAATAAATGGACTTCTTATCTGTTTCTCCGAAAACAGCGCCTTTCTTGTAGGAGATTTACATGTGATACAAGTTGGGCATAAACATACAAGAGTGCTAACCTAACAAACCTCTCTCACTAATCCCACACTAACCTTATGTGAGAGTTTGTAATTAGTTTGGTCCGAAACTTATTATTGGACAGACAAGATCCATGCGAACTGATGAATTGTGAACTGATAAATTGTGAGTTGACCCGTGATGTTTGTGAGTGTAGTGTTACTCATAAACATAATATATAATTGTGCAACTGAAATTGAAAAGGATAGACAACTCACAACTACAGTGTGTTTGATCGCTTAGCTTCCGAATTTGTCAATGTTACCCTTTACCAACTTTACCTTCTACTATTAGGCTTTCTTTTACTTAACAGTGATTGATTTGATGCACATTAAACTCCATATTTCCCCTCTCCTTATCTTAATAACCTTATTAATTACAGAAACAATGTAGCAATCTTTAATAAGCTATACTCGACAAAGTAAGCCGTCGGTGATAAAGCCATTTCAAAAAAACAAGAGAACCCCAAATGTCCAAATCACATGTGCTACACGTGCTAAGAATACATTTTGAATTTTTAATAGTGAAGTGGCATGTCCTTAACGTAGATGTCCAAAATTTTGGGCTTAATAAAACCATGGATTAAAAGATTATCATTTTCTGTAAAAAGGATGGCAGTCTTGAGGATGATTGAAGGAGAAGGACCCACTAGAAGAGCAAGTGGGGAGGTGTATTTCGCAATTAGTAGGGGAGAAAATCACGTGGGATAGCACATGGTTATGGGATACAGATACGTTACATGCAAAGGGCAAAGCGATAGATACGCTTTGTCTTTTGTTTTGAGTTTTACACATTTTACTCTTATAAACAAGACATGCTTTGCTCCTGTTTCACTCCAAGAATAACTCAACATGCTTCCAGCTTGGCCACTGTTAGTGTTAATTACACAAATTAAAGACAAAGCTGAAAGGATAACTGTATTTGTGGTTGGCACTGGCAGCAGCATGTTATAATTGCAAGTTAAAAGGGCTTCCAAATAAATTCACATCTTGCTGTAAAGTCACGTCTTCTCTTCTCTTCTCTTCTATAATATACTTGAGTTTCTCTAAAGAAATGCTCACCACAGCTTCACATATAAATGCCTGTAAATGTATATATATCCCTCCAATTGAGTTGGTTTTAAGTTCAACCTTCACGACTTGAGCTGGAAATATTGACCAATTATTATGATCTTTTAGAACTGAAATGATGAGTTTTAACAAGTCTTTTAATCCACCCTTAATACTGGATTAGTGTCTGTTTTAGGATTTGCAGACAGATTATGTAAATCTAGTCGGTTTCGGCTTCGGCTTCGTATATTATATATTAAACCCGACCCCAAGCCCCAACCGCAAATCTAAAATTTTGCATATTTTTGGACAAAAAGCAGCATATACTTTGTGCTATGGACCGACCTTACAAATCCATGTTATGTCACCAATTTGTATATGGATTCGCAACACATGCAAGATCTTAAAAAGGGTGGAACCCACTAATTAAAATCTAAAATTTTCCCACATGTAATCACATGATGAATATGGCATACCATCACCATTGTCACAATTAATCACGCAAATTCCTGAGATATTTTTCTTAATTAACAAGTTTAGGATTCCAATTCAATTTACTCTACTCATTTTATTTTCATTGTATATCTCTTTTCTTTACAAGAAAAAGACACATGTTAATCCACCATAAACCCCACCTTTTGTTCCCTCTTTCACAGGTTTAACTTTGAAATTAATAATCATAACCCAACTCAAACCCCACCAACTGGGGACATCCAAGTCATAATTCAAATTTTTGAGGTTATTTTTTTAAATTTAAGTAATCAGTCCCACCCATGAACGACCACCTTACCTGTTGGATTTTTTTTTTTATATAAGCATAAAACCTTATGTATCTCAACGGAGGCATTTAAGCTAAAAAAGTTATTTGGTCATCAATGGCAGAGTTAGAGAACCCGAATGTGATGACAAATCTTATCACTTTTCTCTCTTCTCTGCTTCAAAGAGTGGCTGAATCCAATGATATTAACTGTCGACTTCAGCCCCAGAAAATTTCTGTTTTTCATGGCTTAGCTCGCCCTTCTATCTCAATTCAAAACTACTTAGAGAGAATTTTCAAGTACGCGAATTGTAGCCCGTCTTGCTTCATTGTTGCTTATGTTTATCTTGATCGGTTCGCCCAAAGGCAACCCTCGTTGCCTATCAATTCTTTCAACGTTCATCGTTTGCTTATCACAAGTGTCATGGTTGCCGCAAAGTTCATGGATGATATGTAAGTTTTTCAAGTTACTCACTTTGGCATGGCGGTGTCAATTTAAATCTTTAGATTTGATTTCTGGGTTCTTGGTTTTCTTGAAATTATGTACTCGGTTTAGCTTTAAAGATTGGGTGGAGCATGAACATTGAAGTTTCTTTTAAATTGTTTTGACTTGGTAGATTACTTTAAGATGCAAATTTTGGATTCTCGAATTCTTTTCTGGGATTTTCTCTCAAGAGATGAAAATTCCAGATCCTCTGGTGTAAAATTACTGAATTTTCCTAGAAAACGATCTACTTGTTAAATCCAGATAATTCTAGTCATGTGAAACCCACGTTGTCTTCCAGAAAACAAGCTAAAATGCAGATGATGAGGAAAGATTTTTGGGCCAATGTGTTAATAGTTTAAAATCAATAACTCCTTTTGTCACTACATGTAGTTTTAAAACAAACTATTAAATTCAGGTTCTTGTCAGGGGGTCTTTTAGTCATTTAGGTTATGGAGAATATACTACAGTAATTTAGCACTCTTGACCCTTTACAGTATACTTAAAAAGATTCTCTTTTTTAAAATTTTTGCTTAAATAACTTTCAGGAATTACAACAATGCTTACTATGCAAAAGTTGGAGGAATCAGCACAACAGAGATGAACTTTCTTGAAGTAGATTTTCTCTTTGGATTGGGCTTCCGCTTAAATGTGACACCCAACACTTTTCACACTTACTGTTCATATCTTCAGAGAGAGATGATGCTACAACCTCAACCATCTCTAAATATAGCAGAATCATCTTTAAACATTGGAAGATTTCTAAAAGTCCACTTGTGTTTCAATGAAGATGAAACCTCACACCAACAGCAGCAACTAGCTGTTTAAGCTTTATTGTAAACTGTTAAAATTGTAGTTAGATGCATGTAGAGATATAGAGACTCTGTTTACTCTTCCTCATTTATAAACTTGTCTCTATGTCTTGTATTTGTTTACTTTTTCTGGGTTTTGGATTTCAAATGATTTGGTATGTACAGATGGAAGATTCTTCTTTACAGTCTGGCAATGGAAGTCTATTATGTAATTAGTCCCTTAATTTTATTGCTTGATACTCTTTTTTTTCTGGCCTTAAGTGATACTTGTTCTTATCCATGTTAGGATTCTCTGAACTTTTTGAAGAGCCACTAAAAGTTTGAGAAATCAGAGGTGGAAAATAGGGAAAGAAAATGAGTGGTGACAAAAGAACAATGTACAGGGATTAGTATTTTGTTGTGAATATTTAACAATTTGTTCCTTTTGACAGTTGTACAGATTCTTCAAAAGGGGACATGGAACATGTGCAATTACAGATAGGAAGTTTAGACTTTCGAAAGACAGAAAGGGAAAGATGGCATGCTACCACTTACCCCAACTTGTGATATGGAAAAAAATGGCTAGGAGTTCCAGTTCCAACAGTCTTATAATTGCCTTATTGACCATTTAATCCTATCATCCAGGCACTTGCAGCATTTAGAACACACAAAACACTTCTGGTTATGCCATTTTATTTAATTTTGGTTTTGCTTTTATTTATGAAGTCACTAGTATGACCATATTCATATATACCAAATTGAGAATAAAAAGAAACAAAATTTCTCCTCTTTTGTCAGAATACCAAAAGTTAATGTGCTTAACTTAGGCAACTGCAACTGGTCGACATAAACTGGGTTAGTGTCACGGGTCAACAAAAATTTAACATCTAGCGGCGCCGAACGACAACAACTGATATCCGAGCAGGTTACTTGAGAAATGAATGTGCTATCTTTAAATGTAACTGACAATCTAACAATGAAAAAGGGTTAAGACATTATTGATGTTATTACGTAGTAACAGTCGGCAGCTGCAAGCAAGAAGAGGAGGCAAAAAGTCAAGAGTTACAGTCAGAATAATTGTAAAATTGAGGTAACTACTGAAAGAATTTCTACGATTGTTGGAATGCTCAATTTTTGGTGAGGGAAGGGCTCATAAGTTGAAAGTTCTGTTGCTGCCTAAATTGTATTCTGTCAAACATTTCGATTTTTGATGGCTATACACACTCACATTCTGCCGTTTCAAGTCTTATTTAACTGCTGTATATCAAGTATTTAAGTGCTGTACAGTTGCACAACAATAATACGTTGGAGCATGACATTAAGGAACCTCAAATTTAGGCCGAGGATGAACCTCTTTTTGCTGTTTGGGCACAAGGGTTACTCTCCAATCAAGAAAGCCCGAATTCATTTGGGTCAATATGCCCCTAGTTTAGTCTGGGCTAAGGGTTCCGTTTATCCACTAGTTCGAGCTGCCTTCCTAACCTGTGTCGGACTTTCTTTTGTTTGACTGCTAAATAAGTTGATTACAATTCCATTGCGTATTAGGAAATTCTTTTTGGGAGTATTTGTCTGAGCTTATGAAAATTAGCTTATAAGCAACAATTGCTTATAAGCTAAAATTAACTTATAAGCATTTGAAATTCTAAGCAATTACGTGTTTGGTTAAAGTACTTATAAGTGATTGATAAGTAATTGACGTGTTTGGTAAAATGTGGCTTATAAGTATATTTTATTATAAAATTCCTAAAAAAGGTATTACATTAAACAAGGGCATACTATGAAATTTTAAAATTAAACAAGGATAATGTGGTAATATACTTGGTCAAACTAATTTATAAGCAAAGTGCTTATAAGCCAAAAAAAAAAAAGTACCTCTCCCCCAACTTATTTTTTTTAGCTTATAAGCTCAAAAAAATTATAAACAAACAAGTCAGTTTAATTTTAGAGCTTATAAGCAAGTTTGACCAGCTTATAAGCTTAGACAAACACCCCCAAATTGTGCCAAAACGTGTATACCTAATCAATAATCCCTCTTCATATCTGGACAAAAGAAATCTTCTGTATTCAAAATTGGACTAATGTTAAATGTTCATCAACAATTAGAAGGAACAACTTAATTTGGCAATCACAACATATAATACTTTAATTATCTGATACACAGACTTTCATGTCAGATTACATAAACAAATTGGCTCAGGATATTAATCTTCATCCTGAATATAAACATAATTGGCTAAGGACATTGAAGCTCATCCGGAATACTATTGGATATCTTGTTACTTGTATACTTGTTATACATCTGGATCAAACACCGAACTACGAAAGGCACAGCAGCCGCAAGCAAGATGTATCGAAATCTGACAGATTCATTAGGCGTAACAGCAAAAAGAGCAGATCCATAAGTTACTATCATTGCACCAGTGGCAACCCATATCTCGAAATGAAAAGGAAACCTATATGTGAGCGAAACAATAACAAGTATGGATGTAGAAAGAGCCACGGTGTTAGAAATCAAGAAAACATAGTAGGCTTCATTTTGAGCAGCATAAATAGCCCTGCCGGCAACATGTCCATTATTATCATCTTGCCAAACACCACCAGGAGGGTTGACTCCTGCTTGAAAAGTCACTGCAGCAATTAGAGTGACAACGATCAGGATCACATTCCGGGCATCACTTGGCGAGTCCCTGCCTTCTTCATACCGGAAATATTTAAACCAGCTCCTTCCAGTACTCAAAGAAGGGTAAGACGACATTGGTATACAATTTCTTGAGCAATGAAAGTTATTGCCACATGCAAGTGAAGGACAAAGGATTTTTAGTCATTAAAAAAGATTGACTTAAATATATTACCATAACTGGCTGCTAATTATTTTTCTTAATTTTGTGTAGTCAATCTTGCATATGGGCTTTGGCTCAAAGGGCATTTTTATGCGGCAAATTGTCTGGTATGTCTGTTATTTTGCTTTAAGTATCAGATATCATGGATTTTTGATTATTTTGATTTTCCTTTGTTTTGTTTTCTGATCAGATTTTCACCACAATTGTCTTTAGATGTGATTGGTGTAACTTCTGGGTGCTCTTGGCATAGAGCTTTTGTTGTATTGCTGTTCTTTTCTGGAATATGCTTATTGATATTTTTCTCATTATATGTTGCATATCGAAGAGAGTACAGGCTGTCTGCAATCTGACAATTAACGTTTGGAAGACAGTAAAGAATTAACATGCTACAAATATATCTATGTGCTAACTGGATATAAGAATTCCTATTTTAATTTTAAAACCATGATGCCTAGAACTATAAAGTGACAATATGGGAAAGTTATAAGCCTTGAACGCTTCTCGTTAGGATGCAACTTATATAATGTTGGACTCCTTCAAACCCCATGTATATATAATGTTTTTATATTCTTAAAGACACTGTGTGACACATAAGTTATGTTATTTTTTCTTTTATATTTAACTCGAGTAATTTTTTTGTAGTACTATTCTTTATAGTAGATATGTTTTTCCTACATTGCCCCTCCTTTATGCGTTTGCTACTGTATCTCAGTATTCTAATGCAAAAGTCTGATTAACATTTGTCCTTGTTATAAGAATCTCATTTTGTAAATACAACCAAATCAATTTCATTGTGGAAAGCACTGAAATGCTGTATCGGAACTGCCCTACTGTCCATAGTGTTGTAAATTGTTCTTATGTAATATTGTTCATCAGAATTGTTCTGTGATAGATTATGAATGATTTTTTCTTGCGCACGGCCTCACCATATTGGTTGATTCGATTATGTGGAAGAAGTGTTAGTGCCTGAGTTTGAAGTTTTTGTGTTCAATTCTGTTTTAAATCGGAGTTCTGAGTGGGGGTGTATCCTTGTTGAAGACTTTTTCATAGCACTTTTACTTTGCTGTGGAATTTGAGAAAAGCATTTCAGTGATATTCTTGGTTTTCCTCAAAGTTTCTCTTTCGTCTTTATCAATTCACCTCATTTGTAAATCTACATTTACAATATGGTTGATGGTAATTTCTATTAAATTTTGTTGTTCCCTCCATAAATTTGTGTGTGGTGCTGTCAGATTTCATACTAAATGTGGTGACTGCATTTAAGGAGCCTCTACATGGCATTCACCACAGATTTGGGTAATCAGCTGTCATCTTCATTTTGTAGGTTTCATTTGTGATGGTAAGGGTCACATACATCTTCTAGAGCTTGCCTTTGTTAGGTTCTTGATTAGCCTTGCGTGTTCATGTTTAGGTAATAATTAGGCAATTTTTCTGCTCTTCCTTCACTGTGTTTCATTAGACACATTCCTTTCACTGGTACTTCACTTCAGCCCTCCACGCTCTTTGCTTGTTGCATATCCTCTTTGTATAGTAGTATCAAACCTATAATTTTTTTGGCATCTTGTTTTTTTTCCTTCATAAATCATAATGGTTCCTAACTTAGAATGTTTCCTTTTCAGCTTGGTTCTTACTTGACAGGAGAGTTCTACCCTTTATTTTCCCTGTTTCCTCTTTGTACTACTTTACTCTAAGCTCCTCACAAGGTATTTGGAACTCTGGTGGCTCACTTTGTTTTTACATTATCAGAGCAACTTTATAATAATATTTTTTTAAAATTAATGCAGGAGCTTCGATTTATTATTAGTTCACTACAATTTTCAACTTATCAGCAGCAGTTGCAGCTAACAGGAGTATGTTCTTGTTGTTGTTTTGTTGTAAGCTGCACTTTTGCTCAGATTATTTATGTTCGTCTTACTGACATGCCTCAACTGCAAGTCATCTCATTCACCTTTTGGAAGAAAACGTGCACAATGCCTTTTTGCTGTGCTCTGTTTTTAGAGATGTCCTTAATCACATCATTGGCTGTCATGTTTTTTCTCAATTGCAAGTCATCTCATTCATAGACCTACATCTGTGTATGTTGCACATTGTTGACTTCTACGTGGGGATGTATGAATTGACCATGTTTGGCTGTGCTTGTAAACAGTAATTTTCTTTAGTTTACTAAAAACGTTTGGTTGCTGTTTAATTTTTGAAACTTTTTTAATTCGTCCCCATTGCTATAGGATTCATATTTGCACCTGTTTGTTACAGCTACATCAATAGGAAGAAATCCTTCTGGAAAGTGCTCAGTATCATTTTGCTGGACTTCTTATAATCAGGTTTGATGACTGTCATTACTTTATGGTGGGTAATGAGTTACTTCCTTTTAGGTAATTATCTTTATATTCTGTAGTCTAGGGTGCACTGTCATATTTTCCATGGCATCCTATGAGAATTAC